GGCGGCACCGCCAGGTAAGCGCCGCCCGGGAAAGTTCGCCCTGGAGCGAGCAGTGCGGGGCCGCCGCGCCCTCGGGGCCAAATTTCAGCTGGGGAATCCCGCCCCCCGGGCCGAGGTGCAGGCCGGGCCGGGCTGTCTCGGCTTGGCGCCCGCCCCCGGTATAAATAGCGTGAAACAGGAGCCGCGCGGGCGGGCGGCGAGGGGAGGGCGCGGGGCGCTTGCAGGAAGCTGCGAGCAAAGCCCCCCGCGGCCTCGCTGCTGGGTGTCGCCCCGGCCATGTAGGTGCCCTCCCTACAGTGGCAACCTCCTGGCATGAGCCTTGTCCCGTGCAACCGCTTGCCTGAAGCAAGGGGCAAAGGGAGGCGCCGAGGTAAGGAGGCAGAACTGCAGCTCCCGGGAGTTTTTTGCTGCTGCGAGAGAGCAGTGTCGTGCCCACATGCCCGGAGAGCGGTGTCACACCTGCTTTCGTGGCTGGAGAGTGGTGTCACGCCTGGAGCGGGGTGTCACACCCACCCCTGTGGCCAGAGACCAGTGTCGCACCTGCCCGTATAGCTGGAGAGCGGTGTTGCGCCCAGAAAGCAGTGTCGCGCCCACCTGCATGCCCAGAAAGTCTGGCTGGCATGCGCCACAGGAACTGGATCCACTGAAGCTGTGTTCTGACCCCTGAATCTTTGGCCTCTTATTTTTTTAGGCAACTGCTGGGTTGATCATCTGGAAGCGGCGAAGGAGACAACGAACCCCCGCCCCCATTGGAAGAACGGTGCCTTGAAGCAGCAGAGGGAGTCTCCCAGGGAGCAGTCACCCAACAGCACGTGGAAGAGTGGAACGTGGGGCTGGGTTTGCGTGCACGTGAGCCAGGCTTGTTTCCAGCACATTGCTTCCAAGTGGGGCCCCTCTGCACCTCGCGATTATGTCGGTTGAAGGGTCTACCATAACAAGCCGCATAAGAAACCTGCTGCGCTCCCCTTCCATTAAATTGAGGAGAAGCAAGCCTGGGAACAAGCGGGAAGACATCAGCAGCAAGGTGAGTGCGGCATCTGTTTGTTGCATTAGGTCCCATCCGTGCTAAGATCCAACTGTGCTCGCTAAAACAGCCAAGTCCCACAATATGAGTCTAGCTTCATTTTCTATTGTAGTCGGAACCTTAACTTTGTCTTCAGACCTTCCTGTAGCCCAAGCCCCTCCTATGCAGGCATTGTATTTGCAAGTGCTTGGAGGCAACTGATGTAGCAGCTTCAGACTAAGTCCTGGTATGGAGAGTATTAAACTAGTTCAGGAATTCCCACCCCCCCTGCTCTGTGGGCTGCTTGGTAGCGGTCAATAGGTGGCTGCATATTGCCCTCTCCCCCATGTTTCTATCTGCTAAGTTGAATTAAAAATAACTAAAAATAAGTATGTGCACTTATTCTTCCATCTAAGCACTTGCTGTCAGTGCCACAGTAATGTGTGATCACAAATGGAAGGGGAGGTGGCCTGTGGGGTGAGACTTGGGAGCCAAACCCATGAAATACTTCCC